TGTATTTGTTTTAATTAAAATAAACCAGGTGAGTCTGTCAATGCCTGTTGTTTTACATTTTTAAAGTCTTCAACCATACCACACAACATCCTTTGGGGATGGGGGGGGGGTCCCGAGAATATTCCTCAAGAACAATCAACTTTTTACAGTTAAAATACACTTCTGCATTGTGTTTGATTGGTTAAGACACTAAAAAAAATTCTGAAATTACTATAATAATTAGTATTTGCTATATATATTTGAATTTTTCTCCACAATTTATTGCTAACCTTGAGTAATTCAGATAATTTTTGGTAAATCATTATTTTAAAAAAAAAAAAATAAAAAATCAGACTTCAGTAACAGTCACCTAATTACTACTATATCATACCTAAAAAGAACTGAACTGTTGTAATTAAGTTTATATAGTGTTCCTTGTCATGATTGTTTCTTTCTGTGTGTGTGGGGAAAAAAAACCCCAAACCAAAAACCCACCCAAAGCCCTGATATGGCCAGTATATATTATACCTTTGTTAAATTTAGCACAATTCTTGCCTTGGACTGACATTCAGAAGAGATATGACATTGAACTTGCTATTTTTAATTGATGTTTATTAGAATCCTGTGCAGCATCTCCTCCTTCTATGCTATGACTTGTGAAGGGGGCTGGTACCAGTGATTTAGCAAAGCAAGCTCTTCAGATTAGAGCCATTTATGATTAGCATCACCAAATTATTGGTACTAACTCTGTTTCTTTAGGCGTTAAGAAATGAAGATACATGAATGCTGTTGCTATTTCAGGATTTTGAGGAAAAGAATCTTGAAAGTAGATTCAAATCAAAGAGCTATCGATTGTTTACACAATCAATTCAGAGAAGCTGGTATTTTTTCAGGTTATGTCATTAGGGAATGTACATGACACACCAATAACTGTGAACCTCTTGCAATCAATGTGACTTTTTCCCTACTGATTTCAGAAAAGGAAGAGAGCCCTCAAATTAATGAAAAAATCTCTGTCAAAGGGTATCTGAATTGTTCTAGACACAGTGGGGTATTTACTAAGTATGGTTATTTTAATCCAGTTGCAAGTTCTTCTCAGACTTTCACTCTGAAATGATGCTTTTAAAAGCAAATACAATGGATAGGGAACACTGATAGATTCACAAAGAGAGATACATATAAACCCAACATATGTTGAAATAACTGAAATGTTGCCAGTTAGGTTATTTTCAACTGCCAAAATCTACTCTACTCGCTTCCCTGTGATTTTAGCAGCAGTGGTAAAACTGATCAAAGACTTTTTTTATTCCCATTCGTGCTGCTTTGTGAAACTATGAGCAATAACAAAGGCAGAATATCATTCCTTATATACAGTTTCTAGTCAGGAAGTACTGAATGGTATCTCCGCAAATATCAAAACACAAATTTGCTTTTTAAATTCTGTGACAGATAAGCCATATTTGCCATGAAAAGCTTATTATTCCCCACTGAGCCATGTGCTGGTGTATAATTTAAAGTCTGACACCATTTAAAAGTAGGAAAAAAATATTCAAGTATTAGCAAGTATTTCCCACCACCCAATTACTTGCCAAAACAGATTTCAAAATACAAAAATTATTATTTTGGAAGTTATTTTCATGCAGAAGAAAGACAGAGTTAACAGTTTTGAGTATGTCACAGAGTACTGTCTATGAGAAGCACTGACAGAATGGTGTCAAATACTTCTAAGACTCGGATTTCTAACTCCAGCAGCGGAGAAAACAAGATTCTATGAAAACAAGCTAAATGTAAATTTTACAAAATTTTTCCTTAGAAAGTCAGTAATGTTCAGGTATTTTACAATTTAATGGGTATGAAAGAATTAGTTCAGGGTGTATTGACACATGACAAATCTTTTAGACTCTAAATTTCTGATTCGTGTCTCAGCCAGGAAGCAAAGTCTCAAAATAGGACATCAAGGCTGTCTGAAAGATTGCTATCAACATAGGTAGCAATCTCAGTTCAGTTCACAATACTCACAACAGTCACATTGTAAAAATGCATTCCCAGCTGCCCGAGCACGTATCTCCACCAACAGCTTTGGCACAAAAGGGAAACGTGGCCACCCTGACAGTAACCCTTCTAACTCATGGTTTAAGCACAAGAGCTGGAGAGCGAGCACTAGTGAAATTCAACTGTTGCTCTTCAGTTCTGAAAGTATCTTACACATTCAGGCTTGCCTTAGGCATGACATTCATGAAAGAATGCAAGACAAACAGACTTTGAAAAAAATGTCAGAAAGAGTAGTACTCTTTATTGAAATATGCTGAAGATGACTAAATGGACAACATCAGACACCCATGCAAATTATTTCAAAACACATATGGAAGCTCTGTTAGACTATAATTTTCTAAAACTTAGGGTAAATAGATAAGAATATGCAAACACTTATGGCTTTGGGTATTCCATTTCATTTAGGAGGTACCTGTTCAGCAGCAGACTGGACTACCAATTGAATAAATGAGTGGAGTCAATGCATAGCAGAAAAGTTTCCTGACTTTTTTGGTGGGCTTTGTTGCCAGTTATATTGCTCATGTACAGTTCTAGAGTATGACTCAGTCACATAATGGACAGAAATTCATTGAGCGTTAATGTCTTGAAGAAAATCCTTATTCCATTACGAGAAAAACCTTTTGACCTTATGTAGAAAATTATACTTGCTTCCAGTAAAGGCAATGTCAAAATTGTATCTTTGCAATGAGTATATTTTGATAATTAATGCCAGCAAGGTCAGACAACAAAGTGAATTTCATTTTCTGATTACAATGCATAGTGTGCTTTTAATGCTCTATATTATCCAAGGTTGCTGTGCAGCTTGCTAATACCATCAAATCTGAGGAGCTCTTGAGCAAAATATTTGGGCAATAGCAATGTCACTTGTGTAATTTATGGACTCTCTTTTTTGCTTGTACTGGTTTTGGCTGGGGTAGCGTTAATTTTCTTCACAGTAGCTAGTATGGGGCTATGTTTTGGATTTGTGCTGAAAACAGCGTTGATAACACAGGGATGTTTTAGTTATTGCTGTGCAGTGCTTACACAGAGTCAAGGCCTTTTCTGCTTCTCACCCCACCCCACCAGCAAGCAGGACAGAAGGGGGGACATTCAGAGTGATGGTGTTTGTCTTCCCAAGTAACCATTATGCGTGACGGAGCCCTGCTTTCCTGGAGATGGCTGAACACCTGCCTGCTGATGGGAAGCAGTGAACGAATTCCTTGTTTTGTTTTGCTTGTGTGCACAGCTTTTGCTTTACCTATTAAACTGTCTTTATTTCAACCCACGAGTTTTCTCACTTTTACTCTTCTGATTCCCTCCCCCATCCCACCGGGGAAGAGTGAGCGAGTGGCTGTGTGGTGCTTAGCTGCCTGCTGCGGTTAAACTACAACACTGCTACAAAGCAAACGTTGAACCAAAGCAGACTGATACCTCGGTGGCTACTAAGGCTTTCTTTACAATCATTACTACAGAAAAAGTACCTTATTCTCAAGTCATTGTGAAACTATTATATGCAGTAGAGGAGAACATACAAAGTTCGCGTATTTTTTAGTAACTCTCTCTGAAGCTCACAGAACAACTGTCTACTAAGAAACTGTGCAGTATGATAAGATGCACGCCTTCTATGATTAAGTGTCACCTATCCAGCAGCCCTGGCAGATGGAAAATAAGTCTCAATGTGCACATTCTCCATAGATAGTAGTCTCAAATTGAATCCACAAAAGCTCAGTGTCCTGGGCTTTACTCAAGTATACCACAGCATTTACAAAGTTTTAGCAACATATTCACATTCTAAACAGCACAAGAGTTTAAGTAATCTGAATTTTTTCACTTCGTGCATGAAATCTGGTTATCAAAGTTAGACAAATGCAACTCCTATTTTAACAGTGGCAGAGAGAGGGTTAATGGACCACAACAAAACTTGGATTGTGCAGAAGACATGCTTTTTGCTCCTGCATATGTTCGCTGCCCTATCTATGAAAGTGAGGGGCTGATAAGAGAAGAAAATACATTTCCCTTTGTAGTCATCTCTAGGTTGAAACCTTGACTTAAAACATCCTTAATTTGCTGTCATAGTGACAAGGTGCAGCACTATGTTGTTCTTTACATACCAGCACAGAGTACAGTCTCTGCAAAATTCCTGAAATCACCAAGCACAGCTCTCCTCAGACAGACAATTCTTAAGATACAACAAGGTGGCAAACAGCATTGAACAACTAACTGATGCACTGACACCACCTTCACAAACAATCTGTCTTACTACATTTGTACATAAGTCTCTGTGAAAAAACAGTACTAGATACATAGCATTACGTATATATTGTGATGAAACCATTTTGAGCACTTTTGATTTTAACCTTTTGCGCTAACTCTGAGTAGGGCCTCAAACGTCTCTAATTGAACTTGATACCTACTGATCTTCTCCTACAATAACATGTGTGTTATTCATGGAGGCATGCAAACCCCTTTGTTTTACAGAAGCATGGATAATGACGTCATCTCTTCAGGTGAATTCATCTCCTCTATCTTTATGTGCTTACAGGAAAGATCCGAGTCCAAGTTAATTGCCTAGATTCCTCTTTTAGGCATGGGGTGGGGGGTTGCGAATATGTTTTTTCAGTCACTGCTCATCTCATCCTGCAATAGATATCTAAAACATAGTAGAGGAATCCTGCTCCAAAGCACACACTTATCTTCAGTAACTACAGAAGGAGTCAAGGTCACTAGCTGATCTATACACATGTACATTGTGGGCACCTACAGTTAGACAAAATGAAGGTCATATTTAGTAGCTGTTTTCTTAGAAATCCACAATATCATGACTTCAAATAACCTTGCTTATTTCTGGACAAGAGGCATTCCTTGAAAACGTGAAGCAATATTTCCAATATACAACAAGCTATTTGCTGTGTAGATATCATCATAACATTTTTTTTTTAATTTAAAAAAAAAAAAAAAGCCAAACAAAAAACCAAACAGTATTGTCTTACCATGGCAGGAACCGTCCACTTCTTCATATCCTACACTGCAGATGCATCGTCCAAGAGGCACAAGCCAATCCCCATCTGCTCCACAATACAATTTTGGAGTATCACGTTCCTCAGCACTCTTCACACAGGAGCCCCGTACTTCCACCAAAGAGGAAGAATCAACCCTTGGAATAGTATCAGGAAACATAGCCAAATTACGGACTGTGAAAGGGCACTTTTTGTAATAAACACGGACTGAGACCAAAGCAATGCATGCTCCAATGTCCTGAAAAGCAAGATAAAATCCTTTCTTGTTTATTGGCCCAACCTCACGAACTTCTGTGTTCAGTTTAAGAATGCGGTCACCCAAGTCCATCTGGGTAAAGCTCTCATCAGCTGCAATAGTATCAATTTTAGTGTACTGGTTTGGCTTGAATTTTACTCCATGAGATTCATCTGACTCCATGTAGTAGAGATTGAACGTTTCCTTGCAGGTTCCCAGTACCCATGGAATACTGTTGCAGTCCCTTAGGGTAAACTTCATTTCCACATAAATTTTCTGTGCAGCATCACGGGAGATCCAGTTTGTTCGAAGCCAGTTGTTTTGGTTTGGTTCCATCACATTACATACCTGATAAGTATGAATGGGACGATTATGTTCATCCATTTCAGTTATGGCATCCCACTGAAAAGAAAATTAAATTGTTTGAAAACTAAGAAAAATATGTATTATTATGTGTATGCATATACACAGAGCCCATGTATACACACATGCACACGCCCCATACATACGCACCTGTGACTTAACTAAGAATAATTATTTACTTAAAGTTTAGTGGAGAGACAGTAGTTAAAAGCAGATACCAACTACAGACTGGTACAAGCTTTATTTCAGGAACTCTATGATAAATTTCTGTTACTGAAAACGTTTTTAAAAAAACCAAAAAACAAAAAACAATGTGGCTCAGTATAGAATCATAGAATCATAGAATCATCTAGGTTGGAAAAGACCTTTAAGATCATCCAGTCCAACCATTAACCTACACTACCAAGCCCACTCTAGACTAATCAAGGGTAGACCAGACTAAACCATATCCCGAAGTGCCACATCTACCCGTTTTTTAAACGCCTCCAGGGATGGTGACTCCACCACCTCTCTGGGCAGCCTGTTCCAATGCCTGACCACCCTTTCCGTAAAGAAATTTTTCCTCATTTCCAGTCTAAACCTCCCCTGGCGCAGCTTAAGCCCATTTCCTCTTGTCCTATCGCTAGCTACTTGGGAGAAGAGACCAACACCCACCTCACTACAACCTCCTTTCAGGTAGTTGTAGAGAGCGATAAGGTCTCCCCTCAGCCTCCTCTTTTCCAGGCTAAACAACCCCAGTTCCCTCAGCCGCTCCTCATAAGACTTGTTCTCCAGACCCTTCACCAGCTTCGTTGCCCGCCTCTGAACACGCTCCAGCACCTCAATGTCTTTCTTGTAGTGAGGGGCCCAAAACTGGACACAGTATTCCAGGTGCGGCCTCACCAGCGCCGAGTACAGGGGGACAATCACCTCCCTGCTCCTGCTGGCCACAGCATTCCTGATACAAGCCAGGATGCTGTTGGCCTTCTTGGCCACCTGGGCACACTGCTGGAAGTAGAAGAAGGAAATACTGCCCATGTTTATATTCACAAGTTTAATAGTCCGAGAACATTCCTGGGCATGTCATTGAACCATTTAAGCCGAAAAAAAATTGCTAGAACAGTCCTGTTCGGTATGCCGGTGGGCTGTCTCTCTGGCAGTCCTCCAAGCAATTCCCACAGCTCAGGCACATGGCACTGGCCAGGCACTTGCAGCAGTTGACGGCTGGGATGCAGCCACTCTGGTTTGG